AAGGGCGCGTAGTGGAGTGGTTACCACGTTGGTCTTCGACCTGCAAATCCCCGATTTGCTTACGTCAACCAAAGTTCGTCGGTTCGATCCCGGCCGCGCTCAGTGCTTTTTTGCTTACTCTTTGGACCCAGGATGAATGTGCATTGACACACGGAATTAGGGTGCGGGGAGTGTTAGCTTAGTAATGTTAGTGACCGAGCAACTATGTTAGTGACATTTGCTTGCTCACACACAAGGAAACGATCCACAGCATAGTTATATGAATGCAGAAATATATACAAAATGATCAGTCCCAAGATATGTCAGCTGCTCAGATAATGCTGGGCAGTGTCTCTGCGATAAGATCTACCTTCAGTCCCTTCACATCCTCCATAAGGACGCTCTCAGGTGTGTCCGAGCTAGGTCCAGCAGCCAAAACATTGATTAAAAGCTTGGAGGTGAGGTCGATATCACTCTCTACAAGCATAGTGCTACCTGGTCTCTGAACATCTTCAATAACACTTGCTTGAGGGGTCAGTTGGCTCAGCCAGCTATCCCTTATTTCATCTGGCAAAGCAGTTGTGATCTCAACAGAGTCACAGACAACCTGCATTTCCGGAAGTTGAGTTTCTGGGATGTCTCAGTATCACAGAATCAACTTCAACTTTTGTGAACGAGGAGATGGGCTCATGGGATGGGTCTGTACATGTCCCCAAGGTCAGTTCTCAAAAAACGCCTTTATCAAAAAGTCATACTCACAAGTGAATTCCACTGCATAAACTGAATCTGCTTGATCATGCTTTTCGCTTCAAGTTGTGTGCGAAGCTTTGAGTATAAATGAGTGATCTGAGAACCTGAGTGCTCATCACACATCGAGTTTGGCAGCACAGAAAATATCTTCTCAGTGAGATACTAATTTGCACATATCAGTATCAGTCAGATTTTAAGAATGTAGCATATAGTTGACTTACTGCAAGCAGAAACGTCTGGCTAAACTCTTGCTGTGATCGCCAATATCCAATTGCGGCCTTATTGACACCAGCAGCATGGCTAAATGGCAGCTTGTCTGCTCGGTAATAGACATCCAACTGTTGGCACAGCTGCTCTTTCGCTTCGAGAGCATTGTAACTGTGTGTGTGGAGAGGATGATCAGGGTTTGATTCAGCAACCTGGAGTTTGGATCGAAGCATCAATAGTAATTGCCTCCTCACGCGCATGAAGAGTGCCTCAGTAAGACGAGATGGTTGGCGTTGGGCTGAGTGAGAGAGTGAGGTCGCTGGGGGGCCCTGAGAATAGGGCATTGGGTGAAGGGGTTGCTCCTCTGGATGTCCGAGGCCAGCATAGATAGCAGCATTATGATATCCTGAACAAACCATGAGAACAAAGAAGTGATAAACAAGATATCTACACTTATGTGGATCAAGGAAGAATGCAGTGATATAGCCATCTGCTGGTGCATCGTTGATCGCTTCATTGAAGCGCTTGGACGCAATAGCAATGATACAAGACTTGTCATCAGGTGTGAGCAAACTGTGGCCAGAGCTGAAATGCTGGTGAAGTGCTGCCAGCACACTCAGCCAGAAAACATAGACATCAGCCAACGTGCTGTGGGTTGATTCAAGGCACAAAAGTGCCCTTGCAAATGGCTCGAGAATGTTAGCAAGCTTGGTCAAGGTTGTTTTGAAGTGCATTGCGACAACATTGCGCTCATCAATCACTTCAGCAATGATCTATCAATTAACCAAGTTAGCAATGAAAAGCCAAAGCTTACATGTAAGATTGTACTCACATCAGGGAGTGGCGTACCTACAGTGTCTATTTCATGCTCACGATATATTTTATATAACGCAGGAAGATTGTCAAGGATCGATGTGACTGCGTAGTATATGGTTGCAAACCGGGTGTTCCTAATGCTCTGCAGACCTCGCAGAATTCTAAGTATTTTTCGCACAGCGTTGAGCTTTGCAGTTGCCTGAGTAGACATCTTGAAGTGTGCCAAGAGCTTCTGTGCTTGTTGCAAGGCCTGTACGCCTGGTGTGTCAGAGAATCTATAAGATTAAGTAAATTAGTATATGTACGGTTGCCCACAAGTGATCTAAACAAATGTCTTGGATGCACAGGTTGAGCTTGTGTATTGGGTCGGCTAGGTTCAAGATTGAAGGAATACAGTGCGTAATCTCATGCTGAGCCTTCTTGGTCACATTGGTGTCATCAGACACAATAGACGCAATTTGGTCCACACCTATCTCGGTTATAACCTAAAAAATATGGTGAATATAGAATGGAATGGTCAAGTCGATGCGGCGTACCTGCTCTAGCAGATCCTCAATGTACCTGGAGTCGTGAGACCCATAAAAAACGTCTGCGCGATATAAGAATGTAACATGCTTGGGGGTACAGACATGAACCGTGTAGATTGGTTGTTCACCAGCTGTGAGTCCATTGAACAAGAGGCTGAGGTTCCTCTGCCCACGCATGAAATCACACATATAAAACACTGCATGCTGGGCCTCTGCTGGTATCAACTGGTCCTGTACCTACGATGAGCTTGGAGGGGAGTAATCGAGTGTTGGGTTGGCAATTGAGAAGATTGCTGACCATTCAGGGTAGTCAACTAGACAAGCAGGGGTGCCAGATGCACATATCAACTGAGCGATCGCATGGTCAAGTCAGTCGGATTGAGAGAGGGTCTCGTTACAGTCAAAATGAGCAAAAAAGTTACTTGATGTAACCTCATTACCCTTCGTAGGTTGAGGCTGAGCTTCATCCATCAATCGTGACTGAAGGCCACCAGGCGCCATATTGGCCAGAGCAACCTTGGCAGCAGCGCTGAGGTCAGGTTTCCAACGATGGAGTGCCTTGCAATCAGCTGCGTGCCTGTAGATACGGGGAAGCTGGCGATCCCAGTTTTTCTGTCTCCAGCCGCACACAGAGCTTGCGATGCAACGGAAATAATGGTTGTTGTGTCGCGGGTGCTCTCCACTTGGGTGGCAAGGTCGTGTAATCTGCCGGGCAAGCTGGTCTGCGTGAGGTCCACTCTTGAGTTTCCCCCTGATCGCTTCAATCTCCGGCAGGTCAGCCCACCGAGGGTCCACTTCAGATGGTGTTGCATCGAAAGCAGGGCCAGACAGCTTTTTATGTCTGTTTCTACGCTGTTTGGGGGATTTAGGAGGGGGCATGAGTGCAGGTGCATCTGGAATGGAAGTTAAAGATCCTGTAAGTAGCACAGAACGATTTGGGAACTCACTATCAGTCCAAGTTAACTCTGAAACAGAATGGGCATGTTTCCATCCCATTGCCACAGTGGGCGTAACAGAGGCATTAGGTGATTGATACGGTGCCGTAGTCATACTACAATGGTACATTGAGTCCTTCAAAGCATTGTAGAGCATGATAAAAACTTGCCTTTGTCGTAGCACAAGCCTCGAGTTGCTCCCACAAAGAGGTAGTAGGAATAAATACATATAGCATTATTCTCAAGCCATTATATACAGCAGCAGAGCCACATTGAAAGGAGTGGAAGCTGAGCGAACCTACTGTATGTGGAAATTGGTGCGACGATGGGCGGGTGATGCTTGTTAAGGCTCGGTGAGTTGTGGAACGTGGATGAGCAAGCAATGCTAACATGTTACTAACATGTTACTAACACAACTTGTGCTTGTATTGCCAGCACAACTCCGAATACTCCCTGCACCCTACATGGAATACCCAGGGTTTTTTTTTTTTTTTTTTTCTTTAGTTTTGTGTCAATGCACTGTATCATTGTGGTGGAAATTCAGATGTAGGTTGAGGTATTGGGATCAGGCAGTCCAGGCACACATGTCTATCAAACTGCTAACCTGCTATACTAGATCAAGAATATCCTGTTGGGCAAGGTGTAATAAATGTGTTCAATGACATTGCTGGGGTAAAATGAAATTGATTTGATCATATGGTGGTGGTGTTTAATTTGGATTGCACCACCACTTGAGATCCATCCACCACTGCTAGCTTGAGTCAAGGTAAGGGCTATTCTAACTGGCAATAACCAACTAATCATGTAGTAATTACCCAGTGATTATGCCCCAGGACCAAAACCAACCTGGTAAGCTCATGTTGTGCATTTGGTAGAGAACAGATTCATATCTTTTACAGCCATGTCCAGACCACAAAGGGCTGCTGCTCAAAAGCACCCTCTGGTTGATGGTCTCCCTAGCCCAACAGCCAAGCTGCCAAAAGTTCTAGGTGAACACAATCACAATAATGATGTGGAAACGCAAGGTATGGCGTTGTCTTATTGCCTGCACACATCATGCTCACAATCCCCAGATAATCCCTCAGATGATGATTACTCCTGTGGTACCACTCCTTCTGACAACAATATCCTCTCCTCCCCATCCAAAACTCCTTTGTCTAAGGCTAAAAAGCCCAAATGCATCCACACCAAGGTCCACCCCAGTAACCTGGCCTTGACTTTGAAGCAAGCCTCCACCTCCAAGACTTCCACTACTAAGTAGGCCTCTACCTCCAAGTGTACCTTGACTGGCTGTGCCAAAAAACAGAAGAAGTTGTCTCCCAACCAGGAGTCTGAGGATGAGTCCACTAGCGGGATGATACTGTTCTCAGCCCAGACGGAAAACTGGATGGATGCCATACATCGGAAGGTTTATAAGCTTCATAACGATTAGGAGTTGGGGTCTGTACCTGTCAATGTGTGATTGTAGTAATGAAAAGGATTTTTTGATGCATATATTCTGGGTTTGAGTGGGTGTAAGCTGGATGGACATTTCTGGAAAGAGCTTCTTGCCCAGTCACACTGCCCTTGACCACCATCCCCACTGTGAATCATGACCCAGACCAGCCCCCCATGTCAAGAAAAAATCCAAGAAGAAGTTTGATTTCTTTGGAAACTTTTGGGGGAAAGCACCTCCAGGGCTGGGTCATCTGTGACTGGGCTACCAGTGGCTGAGGCAGCTTCTGAAAGCATCTCCTCAACTCTTGGAACCTGCTCTGGTCTGTCCAAGTCTTGCCTAGAGCCAAAGCCTGGCAGGCAGCACTATCTCAAAAAACTGCTTCACAAAAAGACTTGAGGTGACCCAGAGCACTTGAATGAATTACTTGAAGATGTTGAAGAGGCTGTCAAG